GTATTTTTAGTAGAGACGGGGTCTCGGTCTTGCTCAGGCTGGTTTCGAACTCCTGAGCTCAAACAATCCGCCTGCCTCAGTCTCCCAGAGTGCTAGGATTACAGGCGTGAGCCACCGCGCCTGGCCAAATAATGTAATTATCTTAAATGTTTTCTCTACATACTTTGATAACCACATCGTTACTAAAATTTTTGCTTAAACTGTCACATATAATTAAGGATACTTAAAAGAACAAAAATGTATTATATTCTCCAGTATTTGTACTACTTCTTTTGTCATTTGTTCTTTCCTAATTTCCAAGAGTTTTTCTTTTGTTATTTCTATTTAGAGAATTTCTTTTAGTCATTTTTTTTTAGGGTAGGTCTACTAGTGACACATCTTCGTAATTTCCTTTGATCAGAGAATGTGTTGATTTCCCCATTCCTTACTGAAGGATATTTTTGCTGAATATAGCATTCTGGGTTGAAAGTTCATTCTTTCAGCTCTTGAAAAATATTGTGCTACTTTCTTCTGGCCTCCATGGTTTCTAATCTGCTGTCGTTGGACACTCCCCAACTCCTCACTCCCCTCTTTAAAAGAGATGTTTCTGTCTTGTTAATTTCGAGATTTTTTTTCCTTTGTCTTTAGTTTTCAGAAGTTTGACTGTAGTGTATCTTCGCATGGATTTCCTTGGGTCTGTCTTGTTTGGAGTTTACTCAGCTTCGTGAGTCTATAGGCTTATATCCTCTGCTAAGTTTGGAAAATTTTTAGTCATTATTTCTTCAAATACTTTTTCAGCTCTGCCCATTTTGCCTCTTCATCTAGAACTTTGATGAAACTAATGTCCTACAGGTCCATATGGCTCTTTTCATCTTTTTCACTTTTTTCGCCTCCTTTTTCTTTTTTGAGACAGGATCTCGCTCTGTCTGCCAGGCTGGAGTGCAGTGGTGCAATCATAGCTAGTTGTAACCTCGAATTCCTGGGCTGAAGTGATCCTCCTGCCTCAGCTTCCCAAGTAGCTAGGACTACAGGTGTGTGCCACCATGCCTGGATAAATTTAAAAAAATTTTTTTGTAGAGACAGGATCTCGCTGTGTTGCCCAGGCTGATCTTGAACTCCTGGCCTCAAGTGATGCTACCACCTGGGCTTCCCAAAGTGCTGGGATTATAGGCATGAGCCACTGCACCTGACCCTCGATCTGTTTCCTGGATTAGGTGTGTTCTGTAGTTGTGTCTTCAGTTTTACTCATTCTTTCCTCTGTTTGCTTCATTCTGCTGTTGAGCTTGTCCATAGAGGTTTCTCTTTTAATTTGGTTATTCAGTTTTTCAATTCTAAAATTTTCTTTTTGAGCTGGAGAGGGAAGAGATAAGGGAATAGCTCCAGCTTAAAGTGCCACACCATAGTGTTCTAACCAAGGCTCAGTAGCTTATCTTGAATAGATGCTTTTTAGTTTGTGCCTTTGGTTAATGTCAGAATTTTGAAATGGTCGATTTTCATTGTTTAGCCAGTATTTTTGCTGCCTTTATGGGAGAGTGGGCTCAGTAAAGTATTCACTCTGTCATTTCAGAAGTTGTTTCTTTTGTTTGGAATATTATTAGTAACTCATGTATTTAAAAATATATATGTGTATATATATATTTGATGGGTTTGAATCCATTGCTTTCATCATTAATTTGATAATCAAATTGACCATTCTACAGCGGTGAGAGTTCTTTCAGATGAGTTCATGTGTTGTTCTGATGTGATGTCTTTTATTTTTAGTATATTTAGTCCTTGCTTTTTGGCACAGTAAGATTCCCAGGTACTTGTTGCATGTATTCTGCCCCAAACTTGCAATCTGCCATTTCTCCGAAGAGCTCCCCAGCTTTTTTTAAAAAAGCACTTATATTTAGAGACCACAATCTGGGTGCTGGAGAGCTCATTGATACTAGGTTGTCATTTCTTCTAAACCTTACTCATAGACATAGCTAGAAAATACACATCTTTTGAAGGGAAAAGAAAATCATGATTTCATACTGATGTTTACAATTTTAATTTAAAATTACAGGATTTTAGCTAGGTGCAGTAGCGTGTACCTATAGTCCCAGCTATCCAGAGGCTGAAGCTGGAGGGTAACTTGCGCCCTGGAACTTGAGGCTAGCCTGGGCAACATAGTGAGACCTGTCTCAAAAAAAATCACAGGGTTTTTACTTTTTGATTTTATGCTTGTATCTTGTCTCTTTTGGAAATGTCTTGTTCCCAAATAATGTTATTGTCATTACTTACTTGTTTTTATCCTATGAAAATCCTACAATTGTTTCAAAATAACAATACCAACGTTCCAAATATCAGTAAGGTAACAGGGTCTCAGTCCGTTACCCAGACTGGAATGCATTGGTGTGATCATAGCTCACTGTAACCTCCAAATCCTGGGTGCAGGCAATTCTCCTGCCTCTCAAGTAGCTAGGACCACAGGTACCACCATGCCAGCTAATTAAAAAAAAGTTTTTTGTAAAGATGGGGTCTTGTTGTGTTGCCTAGGCTGGTCTCAAACTCCTGGCCTCAAGCGATCCCCTTGCCTTGGCCTCCCAAAGTGCTGCCACCATGCCCGACCCAGAGCATTGAATTTTAATATGATTTAAAGGAATCTTATTTTCCTTGTGATTTTGCCACCAGCAGTTAGGCCTCATGTGTTTCAGCTTCTTTGCAATTTTTAGAATTTTTTCTTTCGATTTAATTGTTTCTAAATTGTATAAAGTATCTACATGCTTCCAAGGTCATAAGATTTCTACTTTCAAACTGATACTATGTCTCCTTTTTCTCCTCCATATACATAACCAATTTTATTACTTTTTAACTTTTTCTGTTGTTAATTTTAGAAAATACTAACTTTTTTTTTTTTTTGAGACAATCGTCTCACTCTGTTGCGCAGGCTAGAGTGCCATGGCATCATCATAGCTCACTGCAACCTCAAACCTGGGCTCAGGTAATCCTCTTGTCTCAGCCTTATGGGTAGCTGGGACTACAGGCGCGTGCCACCATGCCCGGCTAATTTTTTCTATTTTCAGTGGAGATGGGATCTCGCTCTTGCTCAGGTTGGTCTTGAACTCCTGAGCTGAAGCAGTCCTCCCACCTTGGTCTCCCAGAGTGCTAGGATTACAGGCATGAGCCACTGCGCCTGGCCTAACATTTTTTTATGTGAGTATGTACATATATACTATTATCTCTCCCATCTTATACAAAGAGTAGTGATACAAAAAAAAAACTGCTCTGTGGTGTGGTTTCATTTAGCAATATATTTTGTAGATTATTCCACATTAGTATATAGAGATTGTTCTTGTTGCTTTTTACAGCTGTGTAGTACTGGATGTGTGTGCCATATTTATTCAACCATTTCCTTATTGATGGACATTGGAGTTATTTCCAGTCTTGGTATTACAAATAGTGCTGCAAAGAATAGCTTTGTACATATGTCTTTTGGTATTTTTGCCAGCATATCTTTGGGATAGATTCCTAGAAAGAAGTAGGATTGCTGGATGAAAAGGTAAATACATACGTAATTTTGCTAGATAATTGCCAAGCTTTCTTCCACAGAAGTTGTGTCATTATGCTTTAACTGTTTAACTATAGCCTCACTATACAGTATGTTGTCAAACTTTGGAATGTTCTCTAATCTGATATCTCAGTGTACTTTTAATTTACATTATTCTTAAAATGAAAAAATTTGTGTATCTTTTCATATATTTAATGATCACTTGCACTTCTTTTTGATAGACTCGCTTTTCATATATTTCATTCGTCATTCCATCAGATTATTAGTCTTATTTCTTATCATTTTTAGTAGTTTTTATTTTTACTTTTTTAATTATTATTTTTAAATTTTTTGTAGAGATGGAGTCTTACTATGTTGCCAAGGCTGGTCTTGAACTGGCCTCAAGCCTCGCAGAGGGCTGAAATTACAGGCATGAGTCACTGCACCTGGCCTCAGTTTTAGTACTTTTTAATGTATGAGAGATTTTAGTTGATTGATCAATTTTATTGTTGTTGTTTTATTTTTTATTTTTAAATTAGCATGCTATTTAAGGGACTGGAGTCCTTGCTAAGAACCACGAATTCTCAGTCTTGTTATGTTTTAGTAATGGAAATTGAGTTTCTACTGGCTTATAGTTCTAGGATGCTCTCAAAGCAGTCTTTATTGCCTTGTATTTCTAATAAAAAAATTTCAAATACATAAAACATATGGAAAAGAATATAATAAACAGCCATGAACCCAGCATGAATATTTAATTAATATTGATATTGTCCAATATTTGTTTCCATTTTTTTTAATGTGGTAAAATGTCCATATGTAAAATTTACCATTTTAACCTTTTTTTTTTATTTTTTATTTTTAAAGAGATGAGGTCTCACTATGTTGTCCACGATGGAGTGCAGTGGCTATTCACAGGCTCAACCATAGCACACTGCATCCTCGAGCTGCTGGGCTCAAGTGATCCTGCTATCTCATCCTCCTGAGCAGCTAGGACTACAGGCCATTTTAACCATTTTTAAGTGTACAGTTCATTGACGTTAAGTATATTCACATTGTTGTGCAGTCATCACCACCATCTGTCTTCAGAACTTTATGTTCCCAAACTGAAACTCTGTACTCATTAAACAATAACTCCCCATTTCCCACTTTGCCTAGTTCCTGGCAACCACCATTCTTCTTTCTGTCTCTGTGAATTTGGCTACTCTAGGTGCCTTATATAAATGGAATCTTACTCTGTGACTGGCTTATTTCACTTAGCATAATGTCTTCAGAGTTCAGCCATGTTGTAGCATGTGTCAGAATTTCTTTCCTTTTTAAGGCTCATTAATATCCCATTGTATATATTATATGTATCACATTTTGCTCTTCCGTTTATTTGTTGATGGACACTTGGATTGCTTCCACCTTTTGGCTATTGTGAATATTGCTTCTAAGAACATTTGTGTACAAATAACCTGTTTGAGTCTTTGCTTTCAATTCTTTTGGGCATGTATACAAAAGTATAATTAGTGAATCATATGCTAATTTAAAAAGATATTTTGAGGAAGACATATAGTTTTCCACAGTGACTGCACCATTTTGCCTTCCCACCAGCAAGCAGTGCACAAGGGTTCCAATTTCTCCATGTTCTCACCAGCACTTGTTATTTTCTACTTTTTTAATAGTAGCCATCCTAATGTGTGTGAAGTGGCATTTTATTGTAGTTTTGATTTACATTTCCCCAATGATTAGTAATGTTGAACACCTTTTCATGTGTTTCCATTTTTAAAAAGAAATAAAACATAATACAGTTTAAGCCTCTTTTATACTTCCTTTCTAATCCTGTTTTCTTCTCTCTATCCTCAAAGGTAACATTGTTGAAGTTGATATTTATTCTTTCCCTCCTTCTTTTTATACTCTTAGTAATATGCATGTATTCATAAACATTCTTGCAAAGTTTTGTTTTGAAGTCTGAATTGTATCTAGCTGTGTTGTTCATTCTGCACTTGCCTTTTGTGCTTGATGTTTTTTTGAGACTTATCAATGTCAGTACTAACTAGCTCATTCATTTCAACTGCTATATAGTAGCATTCCATTGAAAGATTAGCATAATTGCTCTATTCCCCTACTGATGGCTTCCAGTCTGTTGCTGTTACCAAACAGTGCTTTGGTGAACATCCTTATATTTGCCTCTTTGTGTTCATGTGAAGCATGGGTTCCTCTAGAGTGTAGTCATCAAACAACTGTTTATTGAGAACTTGCTATGTGCCAAGCATTGTTCTAGACAGAGGGCTATAATAGTGAACAACACCCCCCATCCCTGCTCTTAGGGAGTTTATGTGAAGTGGGGTTATTGGCTTATGGAGTACTTGAATCTTTGCTCACTCAACAAGTATTTATTGAATGTCTACTGTATACCAGGTATTTTAAGAGTCTAGGTGATAGAGATAGAGGAGTGACCAAAACAAAAGTTGTGTCATGGATCCAGCTTATGATCCAATAGGGAAGATAAAAAGACATATGATATACTGTCAAGTAGGAATGAATGCCATGAAGAAAATGGAAGCAGAGCCCCATTTAGATGGGTACTGATGGAAAGCCTTTCTGAAGAAGCAACATTTGAGTAGAGACTTCAGCGAAATGAAGTATGATCGATTCTGGGAGGTGAGTTTTTGAGCTGAGGGAACAGCAAATGCAAAGGCTTTGCGGAAAAAGTGTAATTAAAGAAGAATTTGACAAGAAACTCATTGTGGTGAGCAGTGAGAATCTGGTTGAGGATAAAGTGGAAGGGTAGGTAGCCAGGGGTCAGGTCATGTAGGGCCTCTGTAGTCTCCCACAGATTTTAGATTTTATTTAAGTGTAATTGAAAGCTGAAAGATATTGTGATTAGGCCTTAGACACTAGCACTAGATATGGTGGGAAGTAATTATATTTGGGATATGTTTTAAAGATAGTGCCTACAAAATTCTTTTATGGATTGGATATAAGGTGTAAAACAGAGCAAGGGAAGCAAGGGTAATGATATATTTTTTGAATAGAGCTAGAATATTGACTAATAGTATCTTTTACTCAATTGGAGAATACTTAGAAAGAATCAAGTTGAAAATTCAAGTTTGAAATGCTACTAAATCTCTAAAATGGTTGACATTAAATACTAAATTTCAGTCCGAAGTGATTGTAATAGTTTCTACTCCTACTGCTTTGTATGAGCCATTTGAGTGAACTCCAGATTTGGGTGCCTTTTCAGCAAGAGACACAGCATGTTAAGCTTCTGTTCTGTTGAGATTCATTAATAATCAGTACACTAAGGGAACCTATCATTTTTTTAAAAAACTTAATTCTTTTGTACAAAATCAATTTAACTTGCTGTGAAGTAAATTCTGTAAGTTAGATTTACTAAGTTTGTGTTTTTATACCTTGAGTTTAATTGGGATTCACCTCTTTCTGTCTTGTTTCTTTTTTAATTGCAGATACTGGCTCTGGTGTAGAAGAAGTGGAGTTAAGCTGGGAAGATTACCTAGAAGAGACAGGATCCACAGCAGTTCCCTATGGGTCTTTTAAACATGTAAGCAATAACTGTTCTTGCTTTACTGGTTATATCCCTTTCTTTTGAATCAATGAACCATCATTAGAGAATTTAAAGTTATTTTATTAATAAGTTAGGGCACTTGAAAGAATTTAAGAGTGTTTTCCTTTTCCTTCCTCCTACCAACCTCATTAATAAAACTTGATATATTCTAAAATTCTTTTTGGTTTTGTATATTTTCTGTTACTCAAAGCAGGACTTGTCTTTTTGACCCTTCATGAATATTCTTTTATTTTTGTCAAGAAAACTTCCCATAAATTATTTATTTTCTTGTACTTTATTACATTTACTTTGTTGCATTTATTGTTTTGCTCATTGAAAGTGATTTTTTTTTTTCTTTGAGATAGAGTCTCACTCTGTTGCCCGGGCTAGAATGCTGTGACGTCAGCCTAGCTCACAGCAACCTCAAAGTCCTGGACTCAAGCAATCCTTCTGCCTCAGCCTCCCGAGTAGCTGGGACTACAGGCATGCACCCACCATGCCTGGCTAATTTTTTCTATATATTTTTAGTTGTCCAGCTGATTTCTTTCTATTTTTTTAGTAGAGATGGGGTCTCGCTCTTGCTCAGGCTGGTCTCAAACTCCTGAGCTCAAATGATCCATCCGCCTGGGCCTCCCAGAGTGCTAGGATTACAGGCGTCAGCCACCGCGCCTGGCCTTGAAAGTGATTCTAATAACAGTGTTTACCTTCCCTCACACTGAGCAGAAACATAAGGATCTCATACATTGGGTCATATTAGAGTCCTCTGCAGCCCTGTTTTATGCCTTAACAACCCAGGTTAATGCTTTATCAAAGGACAACATATTTGCCCTATATGATAACTTTCGTAAGCAAATACTCCAAATTTTATTAGTAAGTTCTGTCTAGACCTAGTTTTTATTTTTTTGTTCTTTTTTCTTAGACCTAGTTTTTAATCTGTTCCACCCTGAACTTCCTCTTAAAACACACAAAATTATTGATTCTTAAACTACTTATTTCATATTTATTGTAGTTTGATTAGGCTGCCATAACAAAGTATTGTAGACTAGATGGGTTAGACAACAGAATTTTATTTTCTCATAGTTCTGGAGACTGAAAGTCCAAGATAAGAGTGTGTGGTTGGTTTCTGGTGAGAGCTCTCTTCCTGGCTTGCAGATGGCCACCACCTTGCTGTGTCCTCACATGGTAGAGAGACAGAACTCTCTGGTAGCTCTTCTTACAAGGACAATAATCATGTTGGATCAGGGTACCACCTTTATGACTTCATTTAACCTTAATTACCTCTGCTGTGGTCTGTCCTTTTTTTTTTTTTTTTTTTTCTCTTTTCCAAAGTTCATATGTTGAAATGCTGTGGTCTAAATGTTTGTGTCCCACCAAAATTCATATGTTGAAACCTAATCCCCATTGTGGTGGTATGAAGAAGTGGGAACTTTGGGAGCTGATTGGGTCATACAGGTTCTGCCCTCATGGATGGGATTGATACCCTTATAAAAGACAAGAGCATGTTTGCCCCTTCTGCCATGTGTGGACACAGCAAGAAGGTGCATATTTGAAGCAGAAATCGAGCCCTCACTGGACACCGCATCTGCTCGTGCCTTGATCTTGGATTTCTCAGGCTCTAGAATTGTCAGCAATAAATCTCTGTTGTTTATAAATTATCTAGTCTAAGTTATTTTTTTATAGCAGTCCCAAATGGACTGATACCACCCATAAAGGGCCTGTCTCCAAATATGGTCACACTGTGGGTTAGAGTTTGAACATATGGATTTTGGGGTGACACAGTTCAGTCCATAGTAATGCTCAATAGGGCATAGTTGTTTTGTTTTAGGATTTGTGAAAACACTAATGCCCATTGATTGTTTTCTGTGATTTTGTGAAGTTGGACCGTATTCTTTCAGCTGTTGTCTTTATATGCTAAAGAGCCCTGCTATTTTTAGTTTGTCCTTATATAAAAACTCAGTTATGATAGCTGCCCTTTTTGATTACTTCTTAGTTCTCTCTCTTAAGTTAAAGTGGTGAGAATTATATATTTCAGATAAGGATTTTATTTTATATTGCATTGGTTAATCTTTTGTAATTGTTCTCTTTTTTTTTTTTTTTACTACCTGTAATTGTTTTCAATATTCTTTTTTAACATGGAAGGATTGGAGAATACTTAGAAAGAATCAAGTTGAAAATTCAAGTTTGAAATGCTACTAAATCTCTAAAATGGTTGACATTAAATAAAATTTTTTGTAGAGATGGAGTCTTACTATGTTGCCAAGGCTGGTCTTGAACTGGCCTCAAGCCTCGCAGAGGGCTGAAATTACAGGCATGAGTCACTGCACCTGGCCTCAGTTTTAGTACTTTTTAATGTATGAGAGATTTTAGTTGGTTAATCTTTTGTAATTGTTCTCTTTTTTTTTTTTTTTACTACCTGTAATTGTTTTCAATATTCTTTTTTAACATGGAAGGCCTGTTAGTGGTTATGTAATACCTTTGAATTCTTGTTTTCGATGTTATTCTTATTCTGATATGTATTTATCCGAGCTTATTTATTTATGCTGATGTTCAAATGGAGGAAAAATGCTTTTACCAAAATTCTGGTTCTAAAAGTGTCATTTTAAAGAAAGAAACTTCATCTTTTCCTCTTTGAATGACAAAGCAACAAGGAGAATGAAAAACAAATGCGTATATCTTCATTGTCAAACATAGGAAATATTTGTAAACCTGAATCACAGTGTGTGGTAAAGGGCTTCCAAATATAGTGAAAATCAAGCATGGGTGTGGAGAATTCTCAGATGAGATGCCTGTGGCTAGCAGATGACAGGCAGAGCCGGTAGAACTCAGATCTCTGTATCAGTGGATATGAATGTGTAGGCCTTGGGCAAGAGTTTTACAGAATCCAGTTTAGAACACAGAAAGGAGGGAAAATAGGGCCGAAGAAGGAATTAGAGGAGATTAGTTTTTCAGGGAGGAAGAAACTAATAGTGAAAAAGCCTTCCTTTTGCATTCTGGTAGAAGGAGTAGCACTCACTATGGGAAAGGCACTAAGCTGTGCCTCAGTGCTCTAGAACAAAAGCTTTAGCTTTTAGGTGAAGGAATACAAACTGTATTAATCCCAGGGCAAAGGTGAAGATCCATTGCACCCCAGGGAATAAAACAGAAGGAAAAAAGCCCTCTGTCCCTGGGAGAGGGGCAGGAAAACATGCTGGAGCATTAGTAATCCCCTACAGTTGAAGAAGAGGTAGGATCACTGAGACCTTCCCATCCTCAAGACTCAGGGACACAGACCCTAAGACTAAGGCTGAATCTCAGAGAATGCCCCTCCCCGTTTGTCTCCCACCACCAAGTTAGAAAGTGTTGGGTAATAGGCGGTCTATTGCAGGGGAGGCAGAAGCATGGAGAGAGATGGTCTCTGACATGCAGTCACAAAGAGAACAACTAAATCTGAGGGTGGAGCAGCAGACATTGAGGAAAAAACCCTTCTGGAAAATGAGCCTACACCCTGAATATTAGATAACGCTAGAGGAAATTTGAAGCCTGTGGTGCACTATGAATAACCATAGCAACAACAAAACCCAAACCCAGCTCCACTCCTGTCTTGGCTGGCTTAACCTTTTCCTTTGAACTAAAGGCCTAAGAAAAGAAGAAACATGCCCATTTCCAAGCATAAATACTATTTACCTCAGTCTCAGCTGTTTTATACATCATACCTGGCTTTCAGCCAAAAATTATGGGGCCCATAAAGAAGCAAGAGAAGAACAGCAAACTGTCAAAGACAAAGCAGTCAACAGAACCAGACTCATATGACAGATGTTGGAACTATGTCATGAGAATTTTAAATAACTGATTAATAGGTTAAAGGCTCTAGCAGCATAGGTGGAGAACATACATGAACAGAAAGGGAATTGCAGCAGAGATGGAAACTATTAGGAAAAAGGAAATGGAAATAAAAATGAAAAACATGATAACACAGTTGAATACCTTTGACAGCCTTGTCAGTAAACTTGACACAGTCGAGGAAAGGATCAGTGAATTTGAAGATAGATCAATAGAAATTGCCCAGATTGAAACACAAAGAGGAAAAAGAGTGGGGGAAAAAAAAAAAAAACTGAAACACTCAATAGCTGTGGGATAATATCAAAAAGACTAATGCATTTGTAATTGGAATCTCAGAAGGAAAGAGAGAATGAGGAAGAGATACTTGACAAGATGATGGCAGATAATTTTCCAAAGGAAAGAAAGATAGCACACCACAGATCCAAGAAGCTCAGAGAATGCACACAATAAATACCAAACAAACAAAACTCACCGAGACACATCATATTCAAACTACTGAAAACTGGAAAGAAAATCTTGAAGGCAGTTAGAAGAAAAAAAGTCACTTTACAGACAGAAGAACAAAGATCAGAATTACAGCAAAATTCTTTTCAGAAACTATACAACCCAGAAAACAGTGGGGTAAGATCTTTAAGGTGTTGAAAGAAAAAGCCTGCAACCCAGAATTCTATATCCAGCAAAAATTTCATGTGCTTAAAAAAAAAATTCATGTGAAAGTAAAGGAGAAACAAACTATCTTTTTAAGGAAAATAAAAATTAAGCAAATTTATTACTAGGAGATCTGCACTACAAAAAATATTAATAGAAGTTCTTAAAACAGAAGGAATTTGTTATCAGATGGAAAATTGGGTCTACACAAAGAAATAAAGAATGATGGAAATGGCATAAAAGTAGATAGATATAAACTTTTTTTAAAATTTTAGTATCTCTAAAAGATAACTTTGAAGGAAAAATGGTAGAAATTTATTGTGTATTTATAGCATATGTAACTGCAATAGCATAGATGATGGGAGGGAACATTCGAGAGTGTATGGTTTAAGATCTTTATACAACACACGAAAAGGTAAAATATTATTGGTAAGTAGACTACGTTAGGGTGCATCTTGAAATCCCTTCTGTAACCACTAACTTAAAAAAATTGTGGTAAAGTATACATAAAAGTTACCATTTTAATTTTA